CCGGGGTAAGGAGGGGAGGCTAGACCGTCCAAATCCACAGCCTCTTTTTTTCCGGTCTTCACGGTCTACCAAGGACCCGGCCTGCCGAGACCGGGGAGTCTGGGTCCTCCGGAGGACCCGTCCTGCCGTTTTGGACACAGCCATCATCTCTTCCTGCCTCTTTGTGTGGCACTAAATGCCCCTCATACCCTTCCGCTCGCATCACCTCTCCCTGCCCATCTGTGCGGCATTAATTGCCCCTCATACCCTTCCGCTGGCATCATCTCTCCCTGCCTCTCTGTGTGGCACGAATCCCCCCTCCCACCAGTGAGTGGGCTGGAGTCACCTCAGCTCTCCGTCATCCTGCTGGCTTCGGACTGCGGTAAGATGCGGCGACGCACCGAGCCAAGCCGCGGCGGGTGAAGGAGGCACGCGGAGGTATTCGGTATCCTCCACAAACAACAGAAACCATCTAAATCCTGCTCTGATGGATCTGGTGCGGCTGGCTGGTGCAGGCAGACTGGAATGATCCCAGTTCAGGATGGAAACATCTGGAAACAGTGAAGCGACAGGGAGACAATAAATAAAGGACAACCCAGACAAAAGGACAAAGACTCAAAAAACATCAAATCAGGTGAGAAATAATAAAAAAATAATAATAATAAATAAATGAGCTGAAATAAATCCACAGGGGGAGCTACTGGTTTTACTGGTGCTTCATCTTTAACACTTCCTGCTGATAGGAGCAGCCAATCGTGGCCCACTGCTATTTTGTAGCATTTTAGGTTGTTTAGGAGTATTTTAATGAATGGAGGGAGCTGATGAAGAATTCTGCATTTATTTTTATTTTCTGCTGATGCAGAGAGGCTGAACTTATAACTGACAATAAGATGCTCAGAGTGTTTAATGTTTAAACAGAACAAACGCCTCATTTTAAAGTGCCTGTGACGTGCATATACTTCATATACAAAAAGTCAAAGAAAACATCTTTATATTTAAGAAAGTTGGAATTATACACACAGTTTTACCCATTTTCTCACATAACTGGCATATTTTCTTTTGAACTTGGCTCAGCCTAAGTGAAACAGGAAGTGACATCAAAGGGGAACTCTTTAACAAAGAGAACTCTCTGGTCTTTGTTTATTGAAACATTATTTGAACTCTGACTCTTCTTCATCTCTGATAGTGACTCAAAATAATCTAAAGAAACATCAGATTCTTCTCTACAGTCTATATTATCAGCTGTTGTAGCAATGCTCTCTTCACATTCAGACAGTCCCCTGTGACATCACTTCCTGTTTCTTCACAGGCAAATATCTCAACAACTGTTCATCTCAGCGACATTAAATTTCTTTTGCAATATTTTATCAATGTCATCGTTCAAATAATGAATTCATATGTATTACAAAAATTTGACGTCACAGGCACTTTAAGTCATTATATGAAAATAAAAATTGAGAAAAAAAACATAAAAGCAATCATGTAGAAAATTTGATGCTGACCACTCTGATCTCTATCAGAGAGATGAAGAAGAGTCAGAGTTCAAATAATAATGTTTCAATAAACAAAGACCAGAGAGTTTTCTTTGTTAAAGAGTTCCCCTTTGATGTCATTTCCTGTTTCACTTTGACTGAGCGAAGTTCAAAAGAAAAAATGCCAGTTATGTGACAAAATGGGTTAAATTGTGTGTATTATTCCAACTTTCTTAAATATAAAGATGTTTTCTTTGACTTTTTGTATTTGAAGAATATGCATGTCACAGAAACTTTTAATTGTCAGAAAATTGATGATTTAAACCTTTTAAATGTTCCCAAAATAACATATTCTACTTAGTAAAAGGAAAAAAAATCAACAGTTACTTTGTACATTATTAATGGTTACGAGTCTTTGATGTCCCGTTTTGTCTTGTTTCTCTGCAGCTGCATGTGTTTGGTTGGGTCCGTCCTCCCGGCTGACAGAGGGTCATTGAACGCATCGCAGAGGAGGAAAACCCAACCTCTGACAGCGGGACGTCCAACCTGCACGTTTCTCCTCCTCGCCTGGAGGAACTCACAGTTCAGGAGCAATAAATAGAAATGACTCGGGCTCGAAGCAACGAGTCATCCTTCTTTCTTCTGCTGTCAGAAAATAACTCTGGTCTTCGATCTGAATCAGGAGGAGGATCTTGATGGTTTTTCACATTCAGATTCTTACGTCGCTTCTTTTTAATAAACAATAAGAGACAAAAAAAATAAACACCCATAACACCTAGATGAGGCCTACAAGCGGCAGCATGCTGCAGCAGAATAACAACAACAACTACCCCTGCCTCAACAAGTCCCACCCCGCCCAGGACATCCTGCAGAAATGCTCCAGAACCTCCCTGCTGCTGGGAGACCTGCCCCTGGTCCGAGGTCTCAGGGCCTGGGCTCTGTGCTCCAAGAACCGCAGCAGGGCCGGCGGTCTGCTGGGGGGAGGCAAAGCCCCCACGGCCCCCCCGCTGGCCCGGAGGAGCTCCACGTCCTGCCCCAGGCCCGCGGACGTGTACCTGAGCGGGGAGCTGGGTCGCATGGGGTACGGGCTGCCCCTGGGTCTGGATACCAGGGCCCTGGTCACGGTGGCCACCCTGAAGCCCTCCGAGGGCAACGGGAAGACCCAGACCCAGTGTCTCTTCCTGCGGACCCAGAAGGGCAGTTGCTTGTACTCCACAGCTAAGCCCAGTCCCGGCGGGACCACCGGCACAGCCTCCGGCAGGGTGGGAGAGTGGCTGAAAGGGAAGACCGGAGGGGGGGCGGAGTCCCCACCCACGCAGGACGGAGCAAACCGGGTCAGGGTGCGATCGGGCCGGAGGTGGAGGAAGTCCGGTAACGTAGCAACGGGCCAGGAGAAAAGAGAGCGGCCGGCGGAGGACCGGCAGGAAGAGCGAGACAAAGGTCCGGACGGTAGGAGGTCCTCCAGCAGGACCAGCAGCGCTTCCCCCAAAACCTGCAGGAGGCCGCAGAGGAGGAAGAGTCAGGATGAAGAGGAGGGTCTGGAAAAACCCAACGTATTGAGCCGGGACAGACAGGAACCGAACCCTGACCCAGAATCTGACCAAGTCTCCAGCAGCAGGGATACTGAGGAAGATGGAGAACTGAGCGAAGAACCTCAGATCCAGGAGGACTTTACAGAAACTGAAGAGGACCACCTTGAGACCCAACAGGACTGGAAACCAGGACACGGCTTCTGTCAGGACGACGAAGAACCAGAGACTCAGATGGAGTCCGTCAGCTCTGCAGACTCACTCAGACCACAAGAGTCCTCCGCTCCTGTAGGGGGCAGAGTCTGCAGTCCTGATCTGGAACTGGATTCGAGCAGCGGTCCAGAACCTGTGACCCGGGACTCCAGCAAAACCAGAAACGGTTCAGTTTCTTGGGGAAAAGAAGCCAGGACCAGTCTGCTGGAGGAGGAGAGGCGGACTGTGGAGGGAGGGGCCGGGACCACCAGCATGGGCTTGGGTGGTGCTGAAGCTGAGGAGGAGGAGGAGGAGGAGGGTTACAGGAGGAACACAGACCAGGACGTCTCCGTCGAAGCAAACACCTGCGTCTTTAATCCCGGAGCCCCCTTTAGCCCCGCCCCCTCTCTGCCCCCCCTGGCATCCATGGCAACTGGCCTGCCAATTCTGGAGGCAGAGGAGGAGGAGGAGCACGAGGCAGAACGAGGAGACGAGAGAAGGAGCCGAGGTGAGGAGCTGGAGGAGAGGGTCTCCACCGTGGCCCCTGAGGAGGGGACAAAGGAGGAGGATGAGTTCGGAGTGTTCATGCAGGCGGAGGGGGAGTCGGCCCGGAGCGAGGGGGTTAACGGGTCAGCCTCGGTGCCTTGTGGGAGCAGAGGGGGGGTCGGTACGTTTCAGCTTCTCACTCTGTTTATTTTATCCTTCTTCTTTAAGAACCTTCAGCTTTAAACCCACAAACCTGCAGAAACTCCTGAAAACATGAAAACATGAAAACTCTCCTGGTTTCTGCTGGGATTAACTCAGAGTATTACAGCTCTTTTAACCTTTGCTGCACTTTGAGGAATGCAGCTGCAGAGATTCAGCTCAGCTGAAATCATTTAATATGCAGGAGAAACGGCTGTAAACGGAGTTTAGCTGCAGAAAAACAAACACTGTTTAAACTAAACTTAAAAAAAATAAATAAAAAACATTTCCTACAAAAATCCTCAGACTCAGAATTCAAGGTTGATGTAAAAAATCCTGATCATCTGAGAATATTTGACTTCATATTTGTTTTTATTGTTGCCAAAATGTTAAAAACTGATTGCTTCACTGCATCCAGGCAACAAATACTGACCTGATGAATCCGTTTACTACAACCGAGTATTAGGGCCACACAACGAGATTTTTAAAATTCTTTTAAATTATGAGAATAATGTCAGAACATTACAAGATTAAATTCATAATATTATGGGAATAATGTCGTAATATTACAATATTAAAGTCACTACATTCTAAAATTACAGTTGTAACACTAGTCCATGCCCTTTACATGGAAAAGCATGCAGTTACTGCATTAAAATGAGGAATGTTGAGCAACTTGTCAAGTTGTTCTTTAGTGTTGCTTTAAAATAAATAGTTAATCTTTTAGCACGTCAGTATCCAATTATCAGTAGCAGGACTTGGAAATTGTGCAAACAACTACATGATAAACTGAAGCTGTATTGTAATTAATGGATGCATTGACAGAATTAGTCACGTAGCTAATTTGGATGAAATCGTATTAATCTAACAGTGACCCAAGTCATCACAGACTGCTTTATAAAAACAGAGAAACACATGGCTGTACACAGCAGGTGTGAGGAAAATAAGGAGGAAATGAACGGAAAATGGACATGTCGTGTAAGATTATGACTTGTGTCTCATAACATTACGACTTTAATCTCATAATAATAATTAAAAAATATCTTGTTGTGTGGCCCTAATACTTCAGCGTAGTTTAAAGCAGTATTTCCT